AATTCCAGGAGTTTCTGTGTGACAACTGTCAAAGGTGGGATTTGGAGAGAGGCAGGGATGTCCCAGCTAATCTACAAGAGGCAGATGGTGGGACTTTAACAAGGGTGACAGGGTTGCTTCCCAGCTACACTCTCTAGGTATCCCATCTTACCGATCACTGCATCCATAGCATGGTACACAGCATATGCTCTTGAATTAAAATGAAGCATTAGCTGAGACCTGAAGGAGCTGGGTTTTGCTGTGAAATAAGGGCAGAGGGTACATCATGCAGAAAAGCCCAGAGTCCTGAGTAAGCACAGCAGGTTTTAAGTCACAGCAAACAGTTGGATATGAAAAGAATCTGGGTGCATGGGGCAAGGAGACAGAGAATGAGGACGGTAGGCAGACTCTATATGCTGCATGGCATTGGCTTAATGCTATGGAACTCAGATTTTATCATCTTCTTAACTGCACTGTCCAGGCCCTGGAGTCTCTGTAAGGTCACTTCAGGAGGGGGTGTCTCCAGAGGCAGGGGGAAGGCAGAGTGACTAGGACTCCCTGTACTCAGACCTCTCCTGCACCACCCTCAAAGCAAAGTAACTCTGCTTTAATCGGCTTTAAATATCAAGGATTTATGTTTACTTGGGAAATAAAGGTTTAAAAAACATTCCACAAGGTGATTGTGAAAGTCCGCACTTGGGAACCCATGAATAATATCATCAGGCTTCTGTGTTAGAAAGAACATTTTCCAGATGGGAGGGCAGGGCCTGGCTGGGAGTCATGCTAATTGATAGTCTAGGACACAAACAATGATGTATCAAACTGACACAGGCAGAATGTTTGAGAAGAAGTTACAACGAGTAATAGCATTTTGTGATTAACTAAACCTAAGTAGTGAGGCAGTGAAGGGTAGGAAGGGTCCAAGATTTTAGGGTAGGGAAATTGATAAATACTCAGGTTCCTTTCAACCAGAAAGAAGATAGGAATAGAAGCAGAGTTGGGTAGAATATAATTATTTGACTTTCCAATCCACTTAGTTGGACTCCTTATGGAACACTCACTCACATGAAGGGCTCCATCTGGAATATAGTAATATGCATTCTCTGTGAGCTGAATAAACCGTTTTGGGTTGTGTGGGAAACAATTGAGCATTTTATTTTAGACAGCACCTGTTTTTTTGTATGATGTGAAAAAAAATGGCATCTGTTGAGAGTGAGGGGAAAGATGAATAAACTAAAGGAGGTTTAAAAAGTTTAACCTGATTGATCTAGGAGACAGTATCAAGAATAAATACTTTTCAGAACAGATTTTTTTAAAAGCTGAAGAGGTGTTAAGGTCATGTTAATACAGGGTGTTAGGAATGTGTAGTGACAAGAACCTGCATGCATATTTATGAGATTTCTCCCTGGTTATGCTCAGTGTGCAAATAGCAGGGACTGAAATATGGGATCATAACAGTGATCCATGGTTGAGGGTTTGTGAGCCACTTGCGGAAAAAAAAAAAGGATTCCAAATAATTAAACATTTCTGTAAAGATAATGGTTCAAGTGATAGATTCTAGGGATGAAGGTAAGATCAGAAATTGGTTGTTGGACTAGCAGAGAGGTTTAGGATTAGGGATTTGGGATTTACAATGAAGCAGAAAAAGTTATAAGAAAGCTGGAAAGATGGTATAGTGGGGATATATTTAAAAACTAAAAGACCAACATGGGAACAGCAGAATTAATCATCTTATATTTAAATAGGGGATAAGAGGCACTTAACGGAAACAAAATGTTCCAAAACAATACATAATCCACTACATGAAATGCCAGATGGATCATTAGGTTCAACAAAACACAACTACATACACACTCATAACTTTTATACCTATTTATAATTATTTTTAAATGTTTTATTCTATAAAAACTAAATGCTTTACTTTTACCAAATATGTGATCATTGTTCATTAACAAGAATAACATTTTTTTCCTTTTAAAAAGTTCGTCTTCTTATTGAGAAACCTTTATCGTTCAATTGATGTACAGACTCAAGAATGGCTACCATATTCCTGATGGTAATGTGGTAATGAAATATGTGAACTCTCAGAGCAGATAAACAAAGCAGATTATATAGCACCTCTTTATTCAAAATTAATTTGTAATTTTTTTCAACCACAAATACATCTTCCGTAGATAACTTAGATTATTGCAAAGCAAGTTTCTAGGAATAAAAATCTATTTATCTTTCAGTTTCTGAGTCAAGGCTACCCCAGGCCTTGAAAATTTTATTACTGTCCAGGGTTCCTTATTTCCCAGAATAAAAACCACTATCAAAGGTAATTCTGAAAATACACAGGATGAGAAACAGTCCTACAAAGGACACTATGCACCTATGTCTTAAAATGTGGAGGCCACGCTTTGAAAAGGCATCACAGTTTAATTTATTATTGCTGCATGAGGGTTACGCAGCCTATCTTACAATTCCTTTCAAGTAGGTCTATGCAGGATGTGTGAGTGTCCCAAAAGAAGTACAATTTGTTATTCCTTATTTTTTTTCCCATTTTGAAACATGGTTTGATCTCTACTCCTTGTAAATTTGGTATCTTCTACATAGTACTTACTATGTGCTATCTGAAGAAAAGAGGGTTTAAGGTTTGAATTTCTTATAAAACTACCAAAGTAATTAGATTGTCTCTTTCCTCCAAGTGTGACACAATTAGTCTGAGTCTGTTGACTCAGAGAGACAACATATCAAAAAATGTTCCCCCTTCTTCCTCAAGACAGTATTTGTCTTCTTAAAGAAGACAGTGTTTCCCACGAACAGTATTGCTTCCTGTAAATTTAAATAAGGGACAACTTTGTTATTTCTAAGGAACATGCAATCCATTTATAGCATGAAATGGAGAACACAGAAGTTTTCATTTCTAGATCCAAGTAAAACCCTGTCTCATATAAAAATTTTCAGCCCAGAACACTTGTAAGCTCTGAAACCACACTTTAGGACAAACTAAACGGAACTCATTCAGAGAAAACAGCAAGTGTGGGGAGTCCTCTCAGTTCATGGTATAAGGGGAATCATTCCAGGAACAAAAAATATTTGATGGGTAGTTAAAGGTTATAAGCATATTAATTGCTCTATATTTTGAAGGGATCATCTGTTTTAAAAAGCTTGGACCAACATGTGATTGCTCGAGGAAAAATATTTTACTCCATTAACTGAAAGGGAAGCAGCACAACGTAAGGCTTAATAGTGTGGCCTCTTCATCAGATTGCCCAAGTTTTGTTTCTGGCTCAAACACCCATTTCTTAATTATATGTTTTAAGCTTTTTATTTATTACAGTGCTAATTAGTAAAATTCTCCTGACCTCTTTACCCACACTTTGATATTCTATGTTGTGACGCTAGGACGGGAAGTCTCGACCAGAGGCTCCCACGGGATACTTAATCCCCTCTCAGGGGATCTGTAAGGTCAAAATGCTATCAGTGATGATTCTGAGATATCATTTGCTTTTTTCACTCTCATTCTCTCATGGGTGTACAGTGGACTTTTCAAGGGGCTACCTGACATGATATGGCAACACAGCAGCGGATGTGGTTATTCAGCTGTCTTCTATGAAGTTGGATGTTAGTCATTTGCAACAGTGTGAAATAATGTCAATCTTCTCACTAATTTTTTTTTTTGTTTTTGAAAATAGTCATTTTTCATAAAGATGTTATTTTTGTCAACATCTGAGGGGACGATCATTGTAATTTCTAGACTGTGTCATCTTTAATATGGTAAATAGAAATAAATATCACCCATATAAACAAGAGCATCTTGGGGTCCTCAATAATTTTCAAGAGCCTAAAAGAGTCCTGAGATCAAAGAATTTTGGAAACACTGCTGTAGACTATATTTCTCCATTGCCAGATGGAAACCTGTTGGGTTCACAGGGGGCACTAGAGAGACAAGAGAAGGGAGGAGGGAGAAGGGACAAGTTCCTGCTGGTCTACCTGCACTTATCTGTTAGATCTCTCCAGCATCTCACCGTCCCAGCATCTGGTGCCAGTAGTAAGGCGCTCTAGTCTCGTGGCAGCTTACTGCCACACCAAGAAGGCGCAGTGAGCTCCCGCAATTCAGTCCTGCACAGACCATGGTGATGCTGTAAGAGGTCTGACTTCCAGGGCTGCACACTCCTCCCTGAGCTCCTGAGCTATCAGAGCCAATCAGGAAGGATCCCCTCCACAGGAGTCTGACAGTGAGACCTGCCAGGCAACACCCACCCCCCAACTCTGCCTCCCAGCTCCTAGAGGTCCTCCTTCCAAGCTTCTGGGTTTTGAAGACACCAACCCAGGGGAGGCATCTGCTTCCTGTGGTTCTACCTCAGTGTGTCTCAGCGCTCATCTTCACTTTTTCAACTCTCCAACACTGTTTAACCAGTTTCCTGTTGCACATTTTCTAAAGTAATATAGTGAGATTTCTATTTTCCTGACTGTGTGGAGAGTGATACAATTAGTGACAGGTAGTAATGCATTAGGCATCTCTAAAAAGCTACACCTAATGAGAGAACCAACCATCTCTATGGTGACAAACTGAATTAAGTATCTAAGAGAAAACTCTAAACTCTGTTCTGAGTTTACAAATCTAAAAATGTGAAAGTATATTGGTAATTTGAACAAATGATATTAAATACTATGTTTTTACATAACTTCCTTGTGACTACATATATTTTATATATATATATATATATATATACACACACACACGCATATATATATATTCCAGTCATTTAAAAGAGCACTTTCCTATATTTGATGGAAGTATCTCTTAAAATTATTACCTAAACATAGACTTCTAAGACATTGAAATGACAAGTGATGAATAATGATAAAGTATATTTTCTCTAACGTTTAGTTGCACAGTCTTAGTATGAAAGGATAAATCCTGCAATAAAGGTAATTTTTAAACAAATCATCTCAGCTTACAGAGAACTTATAATGATTTTTCCCTTTGAGGTTTTTGCATTACATACATTTTTAAAGTAAATAATTAAACTTACCACCTGAGAGGAGAGCAGGCTTACTTTTTACCATTGGACTAGAATGAGGAAACTTGTTGCTAAATGACATGAAAAGGTGTGTTGTGAAATCATCAGGAAGCTCGGCTTCCAGGAATGTCTTCATAAATAGCTTGAAACCTTCAAAATCTATTGTCTGGAAAAAAAATTCAAACATATATTTTAAGACTCAGCCAATGTTAAGATTCTGTGCTATGCTCAAAATCATTAGTAGGAGACATGACCTCAAACATTCTTAAATCCAAGTCTACAAAAGGAAGGTAACTATTTGAGAAGTAAATCCGGCAGTCAGTCCTAGGTTGACACTGGTTAGTAGATTTGTATGTCTTACCTGAAATAATGGAGCAGGAAAACCAGGAGCTTTTCACTCAGACATCTCTATTTCCACAGTATCTGTGTGACCTTAACATTTTTACTCTTTGAAACTTAATTTCCTCCTCTGTAAATTGAGTATAATATTCCCAATCCCGTAAAGTTGTTATGATGATTAAATCAGACAATTATGTGAAGATGCCAATGGAGAGTCATGAATACTCAGAACGAAAGGTACTTCTCTCATCTCCCTTCTTTGTCTGAACATTGTTTTCGACAATTGGAGAAAGTGGTTGACATGAAAGTTTCACCCTAACACCAAGACGAATGGATATAAAATTCTAAAGTGAAATTCTAAATCTTCCTATGCAGATTTTCAAAGAAATCTACTTCACGATCCATGCTTACTCTTACTCATTGCAGGACTATAAAAGCGTAGACATTTACATGCAAAGAACCATTGCTACTTTGGGAATCTCCATGTCCACTTGGGGAAATGGTGATGGGAGCCATTTCTATCCTCAAGTTAATGAGAGGATTTCACAGGAGCTACTAGGAGAGCTTGCTTTCTCCAAGTAAATGAGGACAGTGGGCCAGGATCTGACTCCTGCCTGGGAAACTGAGGACAAGGCTACAGGTACTTGGGACAAAGACAAGAAAATGGTATTGTACTGGGCTTGGCCAACCCTCCTTGTGACTGCAGGGACAATAATGCATAAACGTTGCCTAGGAAATAGCTGTAGACCTCATGGAAGAGAAGGCCCCTGGAGCTGTGCTGGATACTATCCAGTAGGCCATTTGAAGGGACTAGGAAACCTACAGAGAAGAAACTGAGATAAAGCCACATCTGTCCAGATCAAGAGACTGCAAGCGCTATAGGCTTCATAGGAAGCCCCTGAAGGGCACTTTTTTTATTACCCAGTTTAACGTAACTGACATGAAACTAAAAATAAGGAAAAAATAAAACTTGGCAGATTAATGCTCCTAAATTTTTACAGAATCCTGGCAGAGGAGAATAAAATTAATTCCATAAACTGATATTTTGGATACAAAAAGTCTATTTTTCCTATGTAAAAATATTGGGATAAGGTGGTAGAGAACAACTAATTTTATTATTGTACTGTTTTGAATAAACCTAAAAGGGAATCAGACATACAGGGGTATCATTAGGAGAAAGTAAATTTTTGCAGATTAGATCGCATGCCCTTTAAGTATATGTACTGTGTATGCTTTTGTACCTAACATAACCTCAAGCTAATACAAAACAAAACCAAAAACGTCACTTTACTTATTAATGGTTCCAAGACTCTGTCTACAACTTAATCTGACATTTTTGGTTAAACTTAGTCTTGTTTTGCTTATTAATTCTCAGAAGGGCACTTCAGATGTTTATATTGGTGGCGGTGAAAAGACTTCATTTCCTTCCATATTTAATGAATCACCTCCACCACAGAATATTGTAAATTCTACTAGAGGACTGAACCACAAAACTAAAAACTGTGAATAATATGAATATATAAAGAATAGCATCAATTAGCAGAAGTACTTTCAAAAAGCAAATTGCCACAATGAATGAAGCCAAGGTTTCAAAATACACAAATGAGGCCAGAAGCCAGACTAGTATATCGAAATAAGTTGCCTTGAGCTGGGCACCTATTCTTACTAATAGGATTCCTCAGGATGGCGTATCAAAAGAGAAGTAATCCACACTCAGCTGGATGAGTGACCAACACTTGTCAATAATCTTCAACATGTAAGAAGGTCTATGGGGAACGCAGGAGTTAATGCTATATGCAAAGTTATAGGAAATTTATATGGTAAACATTCACAAGCATTGTGATTAAAATCAAAGTTACTTATAGTTGCTTTTCTTCCTGTACCCTTTTGTAGTCAGTCAGCACTGTGTTTGGAAACATAACAGATGACAGAGCATGGTTTTGAAGTCAGACTACCTAGATCAACTCTCAGATCCAACACTTTCCAACTGTGTGACAGTGGGCAATTTATTAAGTTCTCTGTGCCTCAAATTCTTCATCTATAATACCAACCTCTTGATCTGTTAGGAAGAATTCCAAATGGTATTTGACGAATGGGCCTTAAAACCATATTAACTTAAATGTTTCCATTTGCATTTAACAAATCATTACATGGTTCATTGTTTTTTGGTGGGTGTTTTTTAAAATTGTCGTTGTTTACTTGTTTTTCACTTTTTTTTGTTTTGTTTTTTGAGAAACCAGGTAATAAAATGTGAACAAAGACTATAATTGCTGAAAATTTTTTCTCTGAATCTTCCTTTACAATAAGATTATATTTTAAAACAATTATTTCAAGCCAAGGGTTTGACGTGGGAGCAGGAAAACAACAACAACTAACCAAACAACCAACCAAAACAAAAACAAGGACTCCAGAATAAAACGATTTTGTTTCATATTCCAATACCTCCACTCACCACCTGAGTGATTTGGGGCAAGAAACATACTTTCTCTTTTTAATGAAAAATCTGCCACATCTCAAGCGTGATAACCCACATAGGACCTCCTTGAAATTGGTGCTTGTGATTTCATGATGAAAACCAGAAAAATAGACAACCAAAAGGAAGAAGTGAACTTAACGCATGACATCCCTCTTAATAAGGAATACATTTCTCCTTGGTCCTTCTTTTTTCAGATCTCAGGAAAACTTTCAGAATTTTCTCCAGTGTTGTAGCTCTCCCTTGCTCAGCAATCAAAAAATAGCTTAGTTTTATTATCTGACATCACTACACCTTAATTTCCTCCATATAAGATCAACTGTTCAGCATTGCTGCCTAAACGTAATAATAAATTGACGTAAAGCACTTAACGCACCCTTGGACACATAGGATGTAAAAGAAATAAAATAGTAAAAGAAAAAAAGGAATAAGTAAAAAGAAGCACTTGTTTGAGGTTAGATGGGTTTTTTCATTATCTTAATTTTCCCACCTCTTTATTGGTCCAAGAAACTAGAATTTCATTGCATTTTTCCAAATCTAACCCTCTGTTTTTGGGGTCTTAGATATTTTGCTGTAATTTTTCTGTCTCAGGCAACATTGGCAAATTACTGCCTTCAGAAAGCAAGTCTTTAAAAATAGATTATCTTACTTTTAAAAAAATAAAAACTTATCATAGACATAAGAATAGAATAAAGATTTCCCTAGTTCTTAAATGATTTCCATGAGATGATGTCATCCTATTCATGACTGAAGTTTTACTGATGATGTCAACTTTTTCCTCCAACTTCTTTACATTACTGGTGGCAGCAAACTTTCTTTCTCTTACATTTCCTGTCATTACACACAGCTTAAAATGCTGCAAACCCCAAACTTCTTCAGAGCCAAAAGGCAGCTGCTTCAGTGTTTCAGATTCAGTGAGGAATTAATCTTCAATGCCTTTACTGGTTAACCCATTTTTTTCTTATTAGCAAAAGATTTTCCAATCTTTTCTAAAATTCTATGCTGTCCAAAGTACCAAACATTTCTGTAAGTGGATAATGTCCTCAATCTATACATTTTCCTTATCTCATGATTTAGCAGAATATCTTGAAATTTAAGTATCTTATTTTCTACTGCTATCATCTAGCAGCATTAGCATTGGTTTTTGAAGACTGTGACCTTTAAATAGAATGAGATCATTTATATGCATAGCAATCGAAACACTAATGAAAAAAGTAGGGTCAGGCAATTGAATGAGTGTTCAAAAATCGAACTGGCTGTAAGCTCAAAGACAGATACATCAAATGATGTTTAAAATTTTGAAAACTGCTTTTTCATTTTTTTTTTCCTGAAGGAACAGGCACAGACTATTTAGGGAGATAACACAGAGAATCTGTAAAGAATACAAACTTGGGAAGCTGCTCAGATGTTGTTGCCAAGTTGGCACAAACCCAAAAACACATTTCTATATGCCTTTCATTACTATATCTGACCATCTGGTTTCTTGGTGTTTAAATCCCTGCTAATACTAAAGAAATAACTCCAGTATTCATCCAAGTAGATTCAAAGTGAATGAAAATAAATGTCGTCATTCTATCATTACTTTAATTTATTTTGGCAGTCTTGGGATGAAGATTTTCTCATATTCAGCAAATGTTCATCATGCATACATCCACTTTGTACTGGGCTCTGTTCTCAGTGGTGTGGTAAAAATGTTACTGATATATGCAAAACTCCTTCCACCAGGAGGCTTATCTTCTAATGAAGGGAATAAGAAAAAATCCAAAATAAACAGGATAAAAGTACAGTGTCTGAAGGTATTAAATGTTGCCTAAAAAAATAAAGAAGGAAATGTTTATATATGGGGGAGGGGTGCTTACAGTTTTAAATCTGAGGACTAGGAAATGAGAATTGGTTCTTTGAATAAAGATTTAAATGAGATGAGGGAGAGAGCTTCGTACATATTTGGAGAAAGAACATTCCAGATCAAACAGGTGGTGCGAATATCCTGAGGTATTAAGATGGTCCTGTTGTAGAGGATTTGCTGTAGGAGCTAGTGAGGAAAAGCAGGGGTCCCGAGCAGGACTGAGGGAGGACTAGAGAGATAGGATCTTTGGTGGTGTGTGGATGGGGGCTGATCCTGTAACATGTACTAGACAGTCAATAAAGCATTATGGTTTTAAGGTAGAGATGAACAGTTACTGGAGGGATTGCAGCAGGAGATCACATGGTCTAACACATTTTAACAGGATCATATGACCATAATAGGATCATAAGACTCTTTTATATAATAGGATCATTTTATATAATAGGATCTTATAACTTTTATATCACACAAAAGATTGTCCAATTTTCACACTTTCTAACAAACTTGT